AGAAAGAGAATTTATATTGAAAGACCTGGACACAAAACCTATATCCAGAGCACTCCATCCGCCAGTAATGGAAAACACTGGCCCAGAAGTGTTGCTTCTTTGGCTGTTCTTTTCCTTCAGCCTTTTCACTTCATCCAGTGTTTAGGTCCCAATGATTAGATTTCAACTATCTTTAATTTAACCACACTCGTCTTTCTATAAAAGATTGACACAAATATCAGAACTATATTTTCCAAACTAATAATAATCTTACAAAGGGAATGCTTTTATAGGAATATTAGGAAAGAATGTTTGAAATTGGGACTATTTGAAATCATGCGTTGGTAAAGATCCTTTCAAAGTGCAAGGTAGACCAGTGGATTTTAAAGTAACAGGGTATAGTGCATTGGTATGGTTTCATAGTCCAGCAAACCTCTAAGTAACGGCTGCTTCTTGAGTTTCAGTGTAATATCAAAGAAGGATATCCACACCTATTTGAAAAGGGTGTTAATTGGTGCAAACCCTGTGGCGTAGCAGTTAAGTGCGCACGCTCTGCTGCTGGTGGCCCGGGGTTCGGATCCCGGGCGCGCACCGACGCACCACTTGTCAGGCCATGCTGAGGCTGCATCCCACATAAAGTGGAGAAAGATGAGCACAGATGTTAGCCCAGAGCCAGTCTTCCTCAGGAAAAAGAGGAGGATTGGCATGGATGTTAGCTCAGGACTGATCTTCCTCACACACAAAAAAGAAAAGGGTATTAAAATACTCCTCACTTTTCCAATGACATATCTGTGTGAGACTGGATTTTTTTCTATATACTTCAACCAAAATAACAGATTGCAGTAGGTTGATTTCAGAAGCATATGTGAGAATCCATCTGTGTTCTATTCAGATAACATTAGAGATTTGCAAAAAAGGTAAAACAGTGCTGTTCCTCTCACTAAATTTTTTATCTTATAAAATCTAATTTTTGCCAAAAAGTTATTTGTATTAACATGTATTGGACTTATTATTAAATGAATTGATCAATTTTTTAAAATTATTCAGTTTTAATTTCTAATAAATATTGATAGAATCCACATAAAGAATTTTTAAGAGTGTAAACAGATCTTGAGACCAAAGTGTTTGAGAACCACTGCCTTGAGTGAAGAGCACCCCTTGAAAAGCTCCATTTCTGCACAGAGTTTATGGTCAGCATTGTGGTGTCTCACCTTCAAATAGGAAAGGGCAAAAGAAGATCCCCAGATATCTGGAGAGCCTTTAACATGAACGACAGAAGTCAAAATGATCAAACAGAGAAAAGAGAGCTGGGCAGAAATCAAGGAGCAGGAAAGAAAAGTCCATCACCATCGTCATCATCATCATATCATCCTTGGAGATAAGAGAAGATTTTGCAGCCATAAAATAAGGGCAGGAACACGAGAAACACTGAAAGAGCGTATTAAAAAAAACAATTTGAAATTAAAAATCAGATCCTAGAAATGAAAAAATTCGATAGAAGAGATAGAAAATAAAGTTGAAGTATCCCAGAAAACAGAACAATAAACAAGAAGATAGAAAATAGCGGGGACATCCCAGTGGTGTGGTGGTTAAGTTCTCATGCTCTGCTTTGGTGGCCCAGGGTTCACAGGTTTGGATCCCAGGTGTGGACCTACACACCATTCATCAAGCCATGCTGTGGAAGCATCCCACATACAAAATAGAAGAAGATTGGCACAGATGTTAACCTGGGGCCAATCTTCCTCAAGCAAAAAGAGGAAGATTGGCAGCAGATGTTAGCTCAGGACCAATCTTCCTCATCAAAAAAAAAAATAGGAAGAATAAGAAAAATTAGAGATGTCAAATGTAAATAATAGGAGCTTCAAAAAGAGAGAGAAGAGAACATGGAGAGGAGGAAATATGAGACATAGTTCAAGAACAGAGATTCTTAAGCTTTTTGGTCCCAGGATCTCTTACGTACTTAAAAATTACTAAGAACCCCAAAAGCTTTTCTGTTTATGGTTTATGATGTTTTGTTTACCATGATAGAAATTAAAACTGAGAAATTGTTAAAATATCAATTTATTCAATAATAACAATAATAAACCCACCCACAAAATTTTAGAAAAATAGTTTTACTACTCTTCTCACTAACATTTTTTGTATGTTGGAATTGTTTTACATTTTTACAAATCTCTTTACTGTCTGACTTACTAGAAGACAGCTGGATTCTCATAACTGCTTCTACTTTCCATCAGCTACGATATCACAGTTCATGTAGCCTCTGGAAAAGTCCACTGTACTCTCATGAAAGAATGAAAGTAAAAAATCCAAGTGTCTAAGTATTTTTATGAAAATAGTGACCTTATGGACCTCCTAAAGGGGTCTCAGGAACCCCTGGGGTCACTCTGAGAACTGATACTCAGACATTTCCCAAATATTCACATTGGCTCCATACATGAAAAACGACCTACCCCAAAGCTAACCATTACAGAATTTCAGAATTATGTTAACAAAAGAGGAAACTCTAACAGCTTCCAGAATGGAAAAACAGGTCATATGGCACCTGGATCGTAGATCGGAATGATATTGGACTTCTCAGCAGCATTGAAATTCATAAGGCAACAGATAGTTCCTGAATACTCAGAGAAAATGACTTCCAACCAAGAATTCTATATCCACTAACATTATCAGCCAAGTGTGAAGGCAGAACATTCTGAAACGGGACAAGTTTCAGCAAATTTACTGCCTATTACGCTTACTCACAGCTACCGGTGTTGTAATCTCCCAAAGGAAGGAATACATCTGACTTGGTAGCTAAGAAACAAGATCCAACACTGGACCTAGGTGAAGGTCATTGTCAGGGTAGTGTTGAAGGGAGAACCAGCAGCCTGGGGAGCAACCTGTTCAGAAGGCGGAAGGACAGAGCGCTCCAGGAGGGAGGTCACCAGGAAAGAAATGCAGCCAATAGATGATCTGATGTTTGAACACCGTGAGACGAGAGATACCCTTCTGGCACAAAATTCAAGGATAAATTACTGGTGTGTACTTTGAAAACAAAGCAAAAAATGAGACAATTTTAACTCCAGGGAAAACGTGGTTGTACAAGAAAGGAAATGTAATTATGGTACATTCCACGGCTGGACGGAGAATAATGTTTACATACCCCCAAAAAAGTAAGCTGTTTTAATCTAATCAACTTTCCTAAACTCGTTGAGAAGATGGGAGGAGGAAGAAGTAAATAATATCTAAAACTGAAAAATAATGAAAATGCAGTGTCCACATGTTTAGAAACATGGACACACACAGCAGAAACAGCAAGAGTTGAAAATGCTTCTGGAGGGCCGGCCCCGTGGCTTAGCGGTTGGGTGCGCGTGCTCTGCTGCTGGCAGCCCAGGTTCAGATCCCGGGCGCACGCCGACTCACTGCTTCTCCGGCCGTGCTGAGACCGCGTCCCACATACAGCAACTAGAAGGACGTGCAGCTATGACATGCAACTATCTACTGGGGCTTTGGGGAAAGATAAATTAAAAAAAAAAAAAAATTTAAAAAAAAAAAAGAAAATGCTTCTGGAGAGTGGCAGTCAAGAATGGGGAACAGAAAGCAAGAAACTGCTTGTTTTTATCATAATTCCTGTAGAATTATTTAACTTTTTGTTAAATATGTAATATACAGCTAATTACAATAAGCACAACATAGGAAAATATATATTCTTACAACTTATATGGAGTGCAATTTGGAAATGCATTAACATTTACATTTACCCTGCGATGCCCTTTTTTTTAATTGTGGTAACACTGGTTTATAACATTATATAAATTTCAGGTGTACATCATTATATTTCAATTTCTGTGTAGATTACATCATGTTCACCACCCAATGACTAATTACAGTCCATCATCATACACATGTACCTCATCACCCCTTTCGCCTTCCTGCCTCCTCCCTGCAACGCCCTTTGACCCAGCAATTCCATTTATAGAATTTTATCTAACAGTGCGAGATTGGTTATATTACTGCATATGTACTGCATAATGAAATATTATGTAGTTCCTTAAAATAATGAACCATTAAAAATAGTATAGATTGGGCCGGCCCCATGGCTTAGAGGTTGGGTCCTTGTGCTCCGCTGCTGGCAGCCCAGGTTCGGATCCTGGGCGCGCACCGACGCACCGCTTCTCCGGCCATGCTGAGGCCGCGTCCCACATACAGCAACTAGACGGATGGGCAGCTATGACATACAACTATCTACTGGGGCTTTGGGGGAAAATAAATAAATAAAATTATAAAAAAAACACAATAGTATAGATTTACATCTGAGAAAAATATTTTCTCCCCTAGCATATCTTTCCTTTAGAGCACCATCTCCATTTATAATTTTATATTTGTTAGTGTGATTTTTCATTGAATGTCTGGCTCTTCCAATGGATTCCAAGCTCCAAGAGACCAGGGACCATATCTCATTTTGCTTACCGATGTGTTTGTTCTTAATGCCTTGCACAGTACCTAGCATCTAGACAGCCATTTGATGAGTGAATGAATGTGTGTGAACATGCAGGCAGACAATGACAAACATCTGGAAGACTTAAATGTTAGGTATTTCTCTGGGTGGGAGAGTTACAGGTCAGACCTGTGTTGAAATCCCTCCTCTGGGGGCTGGCCCTGCGGCGTAGGGGTTAAGTTCGCACGCTCTGCTTCAGCCACCCAGGGTTCTTGGGTTTGGATTCTGGGCACAGACCTGCATGCCACTTATCGGGCCATGCTGTGGCGGCGTGCCATATAAAGTAGAGGAAGATAGGCATGGATGTTAGCCCAGGGCCAATCTTCCTCACCAAAAAAAAAAAAAAAAAATCCTTGCTCCACCATAACCTTGGGTAAGTCCCTTATCTAAGCTTTGGATACAATGACAATAGGTCCTTAGTTATCCAATTAAATATGATTCCTTGTAAATGCCATGTAAATGTTTAAACTTCTAAGTTATATAAAATGTCCTCAACCATCAGACCACAATCTAATACTTTCTGGCTATTATTTTTTATTAGTGAACTTCTGCAAGATTTGGAAAACTGTGAAAATGATCCTGTGGCCATAGCAGAATGTTTCGTGTCCAAGGTAAGCACGGTTCATTTCTTGGGGCCAACCAAGACAGATATAGAGTACAAATTGTTTTCATTTTAAAGTTAAAATGACTGGTTTGTTCCATGTTGGATGAAGTTAGCCAATAATCTCTCTCACTCTGTTTTTTTTTTTCCACCAGCAAGGAAAAAAATATACTGTTAACAGTCCCCAGTAAGTTAGGAAATGCTAACTTGGTAGTTGTCCTACAACTTGCGTAGTAGCTGAATGATGTTACTCATCTTTCCTAGGAAAAACTTTAAGCTTGGGGGGAGGAGAATCTAGAATAGAAGAATGTTAGAAAAATAAATACATATAAAATACCACTAGACTACTTAGAAAAATCTATTAGAATCTAAATATTTTGTATATAATATATGTGGCACTAGCCGAGGCTGAATAATTATCTTTTGGGGGAAAAAGAGAAGTAGAATTAATCTCCTACATCTTAAAAATGCACTTTCATTTTCTTAAGTTGCACTCATGGTTTAGAAAAATACAAGGAAAGGATTTGATTTTTAAAGATTAAATGATAGTCAGTTCATGCTCTGTACCCGGAAGGGAGACAGAGTTCTGAAACCTACAAGGTGATTGTATGTTTTTACGTATTTATGTGGTAATTAATACCACATTAATTTCTCGACATGCTACCTACTATATACAGAATTCTATCTTCAGTTTCTCTTAAAAATTCAACAGCTTTTTCTTGGAAAACCCCTAGCAGAAATTATTTTGCAGCAAAACTTCACATGATTTCTGCTGTTGTGGTTTGAAATGTACAGAAGTTTAAGTAAAGTTCATGATGCTGCTTTGGGATCAACTGAGAATTAGCACCTCGTTTGGAGCTCCTGAGTCCAATGTGACCTGTGAAGTGTCTTCCCAGCCTGACCTGGCTCTGGACTGGTTCCACAGGGCCATTTCTGATGACTGCAGATCCATCCAGTGGTTTTAAATCCAAGCATAACACACTGGGTTTTACTGAAGCGTGGTTCCTTAAAGGCAGTTGATGGGCTTGTATATAAAACACTCCTGACTTTGTGGGTGGGTGTGTGGGTGTGTTAACAGGTCAAATGTTTGTGCACACAGGCTTACACACACAGTTCTTTTCACAAGATTCTTGTATCATAATTAATTCTCCTAAAGGGTAGGAATTTGAAAAAAAGAAGGAAAAGGAAAGAGGGAGAAATGGGTAAAAAGATATACCATGTATATCAAAGCAGATATGTTAAAATAACCACAGCACATAAACAACATAGAAGCTTTCGGAAATGTTTGGGCTTTTACTAGTGACTGTAATCACAAGTTGATTAAAGACGGTCCAGCATATGCTTAGCTCTGACTTAATTATTCACATAAAAGTTTGTGTATGTGCTACGATGCCAACTCCCAAATCTTATTTTTCATTGTAATATTGCCAAGTTTAATTACAAGACGGGCTTCAGCGCCCCACACTTTCGCATGTAAGCAGGGAATTGTGAGGGAGTGTTTAGTCCTGGCACGACCTGCTTTTCACTCAGCACCCTGAAATTTAGAAGATGGTACGTTTTCTGAACCACTACCAGCTGTTCAACTCTGGGGAGGAGTGGAAAATAGCTTTAATTGAGAGGCCATTAATGGAAGAGGGAAAGAAGCCGGTTGACTTCTGTTTTTATCTGAACCACTGGGGCTTACACCAAGTTCATCCGTGACCTTGCTTTTGCGGTATGTGTAGGTTACAGAAATCCTTACTGACAAAAGGAACATGTAGCGCTTCCTACCTGCTGGTCATAACAGAAGGACAGGGGCTGCACAGGCCATTCTCTGGAGGGGTAGAAATAAAAGTTCCCTAATGGGCAGGCCAAGCTGTCCCCCAGCTGAGCCTTTGTCCACCCTTAGGACTCTGGAAACTCCTGGAACAGGTTTCCTGGGTTTCCTGCCTTCGCCTTCACCCTCATTTCCAACCCTTGTCTTGACTGTCAGCCGGGCAGCATTTAGGAGGAAGGCAAAGTTTGTCTTCAGAGACCCAACCCCCCACTTAACCTCCCTCCCTCGATGCATGGCCCCCGTCCCCATTGGTACCTTTTTTCCTTCAGTGCCCAGGCGCACACACACGTACCCCACCCACTTATGGAAATTATTCTCAAGAAAGTACTGATCTCAGATATTCATGTCATTGGAGTAAATTCAAGTCAATGTTACCTTACCCATATGCTGTTTACATATTAAGCCTTTCTCACAGGATCCAATGCAGACTTCTCAGGAATGTGTGTGTGTGTGAGAGAGAGACAAGAGTGAGAGAGAAGGACCCTGTAACAGAAGAAACCCTCAAATCATACAGATTTCTTTACTCTGGTTATTCATTCAATAAACATTTGAGGGGCCGGCCTGGTGGCGCAAGCGGTTAAGTGCACGCGCTCCGCTGCAGCAGCCCAGAGTTCGCCGGTTCACATCCCAGGCATGCACTGATGCACCGCTTGTCAGGCCATGTTGTGGCAGCATCCCATATAAAGTAGAGGAAGATGGGCATGGATGTTAGCTCAGGGCCAGTCTTCCTCAGCAAAAAAGAGGAGAATTGGCATTGGATGTTAGCTCAGGGCTGGTCTTCCTCACAAAAATAAATAAATAAAAAAAAAATAAACATTTGAGTGCCTTGTGTACTCAAGTGGCCAGCCCTGACTATCTTATATTTTGGTTTCTTCATAATTAAATGTCTCATTTTGACATCGTGTCTAATTGCAATTTGAAAGAGTTGAATAACCAGAAGGAAATATCTACTTTTTTACAATTTCTTTATCATTGCTTTCTTTTTCCCTAAATACTTGTGGAAAGGATTTGGAGCAGCATATATAATAAGTAATAGGTCTTTAAGGATTAACTGACTAGGGGCTATTGGTTTTTGTGTAATTGTTTGAATTGTCCACAGAGCTTACAAATCTAAGATCAAATGTGCATTGGATTCTATATTAAGAATTTACAGCTGATTTAAATCAAAATCCTCTAATTTAAGGTAGGAATTGAGCCATGATGTCACCAAATGCACAGAAATTCAGTTGTTCAGAAGTCTTGAGGCTTTATTAGGGATAGGTATAGGTAGGTCAAGTTGATGATGTCATTTAGACATATTTTCATTGAGGCCATGGTTTTTAAGTTTGGTATTTCACATGATCCTAAAGGTTCCTAAATTTAAGGAAAGTCAGCCTGATATTGTTCAGTCCCAGGCTGAGTGCAGCAGGAGGCAGGAAGGAATAAGCAAGGAACTCTGAGTGTGTGTGAGCAAACCCAGAGAAAGGCTTCAGTCTGACATAAATTTACTAGAAAACCTTGGGCAAATCACTTTGCCTTATGCATGGAGCCAGGGCTGGACACTCAGTGCCTTTAAGAGCAAGCAGGTGAACACAGGCATAAATGGGCCCAGGTGGAGGCTAGAGCTGTCAAGGGACCTATGTCATGGGGACATAAATGTCACGTGAAACTGTAGGCCCAGGGCCAGTGGGTCTTATACTTCTTCAAAAAAACCATAAATCAAGATATTTTTATCTTCTAACTTTTAGAAGTTGGCAACCAATTTAGATTTTCTTAAAGGACTATGCTTGAAACTTTGGCAGCATACTAAGTTGGCGAGGCCATGGGGAATCAGGCACTCCTGTAATTGTGGGAAAGCAAAATGGCATGGGCCCTATAGAGGGGAATTTGGCTAGATCTAGCAAAACTACGTCGGAATTCACCCTTTGATGCAGCAATCCTATTTCCAGAAATCTATTCCAAAGATACAGTGACGGGGCCGGCCCTGTGGCTTAGCAGTTGGGTGCGTGTGCTCTGCTGCTGGCGGCCTGCGTTCGGATCCCGGGAGCTCACCGACACACCGCTTCTCCGGCCACACTGAGGCCGTGTCCCACGTACAGCAACTAGAAGGATGTGCAACTATGACATACAACTATCTACTGGGGCTTTGGGGGAGAAAAAGGAGGAGGATTGGCAATAGATGTTAGCTCAGAGCCGGTCTTCCTCAGCAAAAAAAAGAGGAGGATTAGCATGGATGTTAGCTCAGGGCTGATCTTCCTCACAAAAAAAAAACACAAAAAAACAACAAAGATACAGAGACAAAAATTCAATGTGTGATGCTATTTTTTGCAGTAATTATTGTTACAATTTATAGATATATACAACATATAGAAATATATATGCATATATTTTATATATGCATACATATACATATATGTATATAAATAAATATGTGTGGAAATATACAATGTACAGAAATATACAACGTATAGAAACAGCCCAAATGTCCATAAATAGCAAGCTGCTTGAATAAACCGTGGTATATCCACATAATGCAGTACTATGAAGCAGCAGAAGCAAATAAAAGATATCTCTGTATACTGCTAGAGTGAGGAGGTGGATACAAGTGTGATAGCACTGTAGTTCTCAAAGTGTGGTCCCAGGACCAGCGACTTCAACATCATCTGGGAACTTGTTAGAATGCAAATTCTCGGGCACCACCCCGTAGCCACTAAATCAGCAAGTCTGGGTATGACCCAGTAATCTGTGTTTTAACAAGTCTTCCAGGTGATTCTGATACACACTCAAGTTTGAGAATCACTGACATAGCTTGTTTTTATTTATCTAGGAATAGGGGAGAATATGCCTATATTTAAATGTGTATGTTTTTTATAAAAAGGACAGATTGTAAGATTAAAAATTGGGTACTGGGCCGGCCCCGTGGCTTAGTGGTTAAGTGCGCACGCTCCACTGCTGGCGGCCTGGGTTCGGATCCCGGGCTCGCACCAACGCACTGCTTCTCCGGCCATGCTGAGGCCATGTCCCACATACAGCAACTAGAAGGATGTGCAGCTATGACATACAACTATCTACTGGGGCTTTGGGGGGAAAAAATAAATAAATAAAATTATTTAAAAAAAAAAGTTGGGTACTGATAGAGGAAGGGAAGGCATAGACTAGAATGGAAAGGAATAGAAGCTAGACTTCTTTGTATATGCATTTCCTTGTAGAGTTGACTTTGAAACCATGTACAAATTTTACATAATTATAAAGCAAAATTAAAGTTTACAAAAGCAGTCTCCAAAAATTGAAAGCAAAATGAATCAATGAGCCTGATTGTGTGTCCAGTTTGTGGCATAACCATGCAGAGGAAATTCCAATCAACTTTAAAAATATACCATGAACAAAATACAGCAAATACATCCTTGACTGTTTTCAATAGTGATATCATATATGGTGGTGTTGATATTGTTATTCTGAAATTATTGAGCGTATTGTGGGATAAAGCAAATGAGTACTTCTGTTAGTGTCATTGAGAACTGGAATTGGTAGAAGAAAGAAAATATAGAGTAAGAATGAGAATAGTTATTATAAAGAATAATTAAAAACGCTGTAGTCTTGAATCTGAATTGCGAGTTTGAACTAAGGATGTATTTTATCTTTAAAAAACACCATATTCCTGACTCGGTCTACTGAAAAGGCCTAGAAATAATGATTAACCTAAGAGCAAGAACGTCGCTAATGCCCAGATTGTGGTCTCCAAATACTGCTTCTTACTGGAAGGAATCAGTGCTCCGTGAAGAATGAGTGTGGGCAGGAAATGTACAAGATGGCCTGGAACATCTTGTCACACCAGACAACAAGGAAGCTGCTGGAGGCTGTAGGTCAGGTCACAGATACTCAAGAAGAGGCTCCTACTGGCCAAAGATGGGATCATTTGAGCGTTAGTAAAGATAATTAACTGAATACAACTGAAACTCATTAAATACGTTTGTTAATAAATTCACAGTAATGTTAAAAATTCCAAACTAGTGGCCTTTGCAGGATGCTAGAGAACCAATGCATTATTTTGAAAATTAAGGGATAGAATCAAGCATTTATCCTGCCTTTCCCAAATAGTTAATATAAGGAAGTTCCTGTTTTGGAGGGATTCTGGCTAATAAATGAAGAAGGAATAGTAAAGTTAGAAGTATCACCATTTTGCAACTCTTATGAATTAATAGATCTAGTCAGTAATTACCAATAGTTGTTAACATCACAAAAAGAGAGACGACAAGACGTTATGTGCTTCCTGATGGAAGTACGATACAACCTGTGATGTATTTGTGCCAAATTATGAAACCTAAGTCTGTTCAAGCCTCTACTAAAACACAAGGAGTGCAGGGGGCAGGGGAATATGTTAAAGGAAGCCACAGGGATGTAATCAGCAAAATCGAAACTATAGGAAACTCTGCAGGACAAACCATCTGGTTTCTTCAACTAAATTGCAAGGGGGAAAAAGATAAGAGGTGAAATTTTTAGATTAGAAGAGTCTTCGTGTTTTTTTTGTTTTTTTTGTTTTTGGTGAGGAAGATTAGCCCTGAGCTAACATCTGTTGCCAATCCTCCTCTTTTTGTTGAGGAAGATTGTCCCTGGGCTAACATCAGTGCCCATCTTCCTCTACTTTGTATGTGGGATGCTGCCACAGCATGGCTTGATAAGCAGTGCGTAGGTCTGCGCCTGGGATCCGAACCTGCGAACCCTGGGCAGCCAAATCGGAGCACGTAAACTTAACCACTACACCACCGGGCCAGCCCCTAGAAGAGTCTTAAGAGATATCAACCAGTTGCTGTGTGTAGATGTTATCCAAATCAAGCAGGCAAACTATAAAAAAAAATTAAGAAAATAGGAAATATGAATAGTGACTGATGAACCTTCATGATATTATGGAATTATTTAAATATGATAATGGCACTGTGGTTATGCTTCTTTTTAAAAGTCCTTATATTAGAGACATATACTAAAATATTTACAAGTGAAATGATATGATGCCTAGAATTTGTTTCAGAGTGATGAAGGCACGGGAGTGGGTGGATACAGATAATGAGTTAATGATTATTGAGCTCAGATGATGGATACTTGGCGATTCATTATACCACCTCTACTTTTGTATATGCTTGAAACTTTCTATAATAAAATAATTTTAGCCTAATCCTCGTTGAGTTTAACAGAAAGGATTCTAAGTGGAAATTCCTTTTAAATCAGAAAAAAAATAATTAAAGCACTAAAGTTACAAAAAACAAAAAGGTGCTCTCTCGGAGTTGCATGTAAATCCGGCATGAAGTGGTTTAAAAAGTTAAAGGAAATAAAAAGTCAGAAAAAGCAGAATGTGAAATACCACCAAAATAGACTGATTCTTTTTCAAAATGTAAGTCCATTTTAGAGTTTGCAAGAGCTGGTAATTCATTGGCCTTAAATTATTTATTCTGACCAACAGTTTTACAATTAAAAGTTTAAAAACCTAGCTTCTGCCACCTCACTCACCCACCTACATATACTTCTTTCCCTTGGCAGTGTATGGAAAAATTTCAAAAGACTTTGAAATCAACCTAAAAGATTACTGGATGCCTCCAATAGAAAACTTAAGTATTTTCCAATTTACGCTTCTAAATTATATGATTCAGTGAGATCTCTGCACCTTTCCTTGTCTTTGAGCTATTTAACAACTGTAAATTATAGATAACTGATAGAAATGTAAATGATTCTTGACCACAGACATGCAAATGAATACTGTCTGTAGAGGGACAGTTGATTTCTTTACCCACCCATCTGGAGATAAAGCCAGGTTTGTATCTATTTGTAAGTTCATTTCACCATTGCTCATTGACCTATCTGAATGTGATACTTTTATTTCTCTTTTGATCCAGTGGTAATATCTTACTGCTTTCCTCATTAATTAATAGGTTAAATAAAATCTTTGACAGTGTTCATGTTATATTTGCATGGAAGTCATGGTTTTACCTTTTTAAAAAATTATCCTTTCATAGCAAGAAGCATTAGTTTAATATTTCCCAATATTTGATAATATAACTAGACATCTGAAAGATGCTAGGGAACTAGAAATATGATTATAGCAAAAGGCAAGAACCCCACATGGGTTAGGCAAACGTTTATTGCATTTGAGACATTGCTGCCCTGCTGGAGCATACAGATGAGTAGATTTGGATCCTGCTCTCAATTTTCAGCTTAGTGGGAGAGAGGGAAATTCAGTAGTTCAACAAACATTATGTGCCAGGTGAACACCTTATGGCCCCTACCCCACGGGAACTCACAGCCTAGAGTGGGAGACAGACAGGCACACAGACAGTGTCACTGTCATTTGGTAAATGCTACAGGAGAGGTAAGTATTGGGTATGGTGGAAACCCAGAGTAGGAGCAGTTGGCTCTGCCCAAAAGCTCAAGGAAGACTCCTTGGAGGAAATAAAGCCCAAGTTCAATGTCAAAGGATGCATGGTGGCTCTCCAATGAAAAAAATGGGAAAGACCGTGGGCAGAGAAAACCGAATACACAAGGGCTTGGAAGTGTACAGCAGCTTTCTCATGCCCTGCACGTGCTTCCAACATGTTCTCACCACGTGATATTTAAATTATATACTTGTATTTCTCTCCCACTCTGCAAATCCACCGGAGGACTGTGAGCACCGTGGGGCAGAACCCTTATTTCCCTCCTCTTCCTGTTGGCCTTCCGATTCACCATAACACAGCAGGTGCTCAATACATGTTTGTTGAATCCAAGTGAGTTGAAGTGCGTGTGGATTCTAGGTATAAAACAAGGTAGACAAAAAGGCACAGATGATTGCCACAGGGGCTCGGGAGACAGGCCCGTGGGATTAGAGAAACAAATATAAAGGTATGAAGGATGTTTCTTTTGATTGTTTTTAAGTGAATGTTGTTGCCTGCGCTTTTTGGCCCATCAAAGTCTCTCTTTTGTTTCCTTGCAGAGTGAAGAGTTCCACATTTACACCCAGTATTGCACTAACTACCCGAGGTAACGCGTTATGGATGTGCGGGAGGGCTCTTGTTCGTTTTCACATTGTTTCAGGTCCCTCGGTCCAGTATATGTGGTCGTTAGGCGTTATGTGGCTGGCACTGTGCTGAGTCCTATGGGAAGACTGCAGGACATGCTGAAAACATATTCCAGGGGCACCCAGATATTGACCCATGCAGGCTTTGGGGCTCCCAGCACGGCCAGTGTAGAGAAAAATTGTAGAAGATGTTGCAAGAGTCCAAAAAGATTGCTAAGAGTCATTCAGTAGAAAACTAAGTAAACCGGTTGTGTTTGGCTATAAGTCTTGTCTGTTAACCTGTCGTATGTGTGCCATGTTTTTAAGAATATGGTAAGCACTGCCAATGAGTTGATATAATCTAGCTGGGGAGAGAATGTGTTATATGTTTGCTATATAAATTGTATGAACTATGTAAGTTTCATGAAGTTCCGAGAAAGGAAAGATCAAGCTCATGTAAGAGGACTCCTGGTCTCACGTGGATCATTGCTTCAGTTTTGCTTACACTGGGGGTGACGGCAGGAGGGCAGTTTGGGAGCACCCCCTGGGCAATATATTGACCATTTCAGTAAGGGAATCAGGCCCAAGACCATGGGCCACACTGTAAGAATTTCGTTTTTCTGCAAAAGACATTTTTTGGGCACTGACTGATTCCTAAGCACTGAGTTAAATGTTGTCAATGCAAAATGATGTTGAATTTAACTTGCATAGCAATCCAGAGATATTGAGGGATTCAAGAAAAGCAGATCATCCATCCATCACAGTGCCAGGGCTCCTATTCAGTGCTTGATAAGTGTAGTTCATTGTCACCCCCGCCCCATCCCCATTGTATGGATGGAGTCACTGAGGCTCCAGTAGGCTTATTGATTTTACAAGGGTCACATAGCTGAAGAGTGGCCCAGCTATGATTTGAACAGAGGTTTCTCCGACCTCAGACCTCATGCTACTTACATCCTTGTAAGGTTACATCCTTGTAAGGTTTCTGAAGCTTTGTGAATCTGCCCATGCCTTTTACTCTGCTTTCCCACATGATCAGGACTCCAGTTGTTATCTTAGGGACCAGGAGGATGAGAGCTAGGGAGATTTTAGACACTCTGTAGCCAGTCTTAGTAGAGACAAGTCCCTAAGGATAATGTGGGTGGTGGGATCCATCTAGAATAGAAGCCAGCAGGCTGAGCCCCTGTTGCTGCTGTGATAAGGAAGAACAAATGCCTCCCCACACACCCTGCTCTGGCATGGCCCCCTCAAACCAGTCTGGATTAAAAAGGATGTAGCCGGAAATTCAGACTTACTGATGGCCAAATACTTTCCATTGGAGCATTTTAGTCTCCTTCTCTAAATATTGGTCAGGACATTGTGCTGTGGTGATTTATTTGGTTGGTGGCCAACCCTGCATTTCCCTTAAAAACAGAAAAACAAAAAAACCCCACATGAAGATTAAAAACCCACCATGTCCTTTATCTGTAGACCCACCCACACTTGACAGAATTTCACTTAAGCAGTGTTCCCTCCTAAAGTATTTGTTTCCAGCTCTGTGCTGAAGATAGCAGGAAATTGTAGGATGCCCCTACTAAATCCATGATCCTTAAGCTAAAAACCAGCCTTGCACCACACCCTAATTCAGAGAAATCGCAGAAACGGCCCTCATCTTTTCCACGAAACTTCTTCCTGAGCGAACGGAAAACACATTCAAACTCAGAAGAATCAGCAAAGTTTACCAATTATGAGGATCTGAGATGCTAGAGGAGATTGTTTAGGGGATTATGTCTGTGTAATTTCATTATAAACATGTAATTTGAAGAAATAACTTCAGAATTTGCAGTTTGGGAAGTTTATCTTAAGATTTTTCTGCCTTGGTAATAAGAGAGGGTACAAATGAAGGCAGACTTTACATACTATTCTGCTGTAGGGTCAGGGAAGGCCAAATCCTTTGTGAAAGGACATTTTTAAGAGCCTGTCATTCACGAAGCGCAGTTCCAAGCTTGGTGTGTATTGGCAGGAAATTGGAGCTGGTGTCTCTTACCTTCTAGCAGTTTATATTCTTTTGAGAGTCAGAACTCAACTAAATGTGATAGTGGAATAGCAGGTAAGGGAAGATCAAATCAATAAATACAAATGAATGCAGTACAAACTCAGTAATGTGTAATAGAAACTAAAGATGCGTGAGATAAAGGTGAGAATGTCAGGAGAATTAAGGACAATTTCCTGGAGGAAGTGGGGGTTTTTTTGTTTGTTTTTGTGAGGAAGATTAGCCCTGAGCTAACACCTGTTGCCAATCCTCCTCTTTTTGCTGAGGAAGATTGGCCCTGAGCTAACATCTGTGCCCATCTTCCTCTATTTTGTATGTGGGACACCGCCACAGCATGGCCTGATGAGTGATGTGTAGGTCTGGGCCTGGGATCCAAACCCACAAGCCCCAGGCTGCCAAAGTGGATCGCGTGAACCCGACCACTATGCCACCCAGCCAGCCCCATGGCAGTGTTTTTTTTTCTCTCTTTTTTTTTTAATCTGACATTGAAGAAGAAAAGAAATGTGTTAGCAGAGAGATGCTCGAAAAGCATTCTCAGTGAAACAGCCATGTACGGTTCTTGCCCGGCTGTATGGTTTTCAAATTCATAGAAAAATATTTCCTCTTGTCCGCTTGTCTCCAAGCAGTTTGCTCTCTGAGGCCTCCTCTCCCTCATCTTAACAAGCTAAGACTTTGAGCCAGGTGTTTCAGCCCATCTGACAACTTGTCTTCCCCTTTGGATGCAGGCTGGTGGTATTAAATTTCGCCGGCACACCTTCACAGATGTCCGTCTTCTTCATACCAGTCACGCCCCAGCGATTCCTCTGTGAAGAGGCACAAGCCCTCCCTCTTTCCCCCAAGTCAGGTCATTGTCCTCAGATGTCTCCCGGGCCCTGAACCTGGGCTTCAGTGTGCTCAAGATGAGTGCAGGTTTCTTATTCTTGGCAAGAAAGCCGTCAGATGGCTAAAGAGTTACTGGGCAGCTGATTCTGACTCTAAAGAACCTTAGAAAAGTTCTTAGGCTACGTGATGAAGAATAGTTTTGAAATCTCGACTTAGGGGAGAAATAAACCCGTTTGAACAGATATTTCTCAAAGCGGACAGGCATAGAGGGGATTCTAACAGCTTCATTAGGAGACCTCCATTTCACTCTCTTCCAAGGAGTCTTATTTTGCTTTTTGGCTCTCTCTGATTTTCTAAATTAATCCTGAAAAATATTACTGACTTGGGGAGAAAGGGGCTGAAATTACTTCCACCTGCTTCCTTTGACATTATGAAACCATAAGATTTTAATTTATGCGTGTGAGACTCCACAAGCCCCCTAGCTTGCTTTGTGTATAAGGTATAAGCACTGCTTCAACTCCTCCCCTAGGATGTTAGGGGGCCATACGTGGTAGCTTTGGGGGAGCTTGGATGGAGAAGGAATCTGACCCGCTTTTCTAATACACTGCAGTGAGGCACGCTCCTTAGGGAGCAAGGCCATCTAGCTGTCCCAGAAGCTGAATTTAGAAGGAGGAGAGCCACTTGGAGGTGGAAAGAGGGATCTGTTCACAGATGCTCAAAGGAAAGTTCCCTGTAAGATGAAGTCTTTAAGGAACTGCATATAATGTTATGCAGTTTGTGCATTATACAAAGGCCATCAGCAGAGGGGGTGACAAATGTCTGACAGCGGGCTGGATCTACTTGGAAGAAGGAACTACATTTTGTTAGTACAAAGCTGCCCGCTCCTCGCATTTCACCTGTGGAAATTGAATACAGATGTGCGATTTGAGCACTGCACAAAGACACCCAGATGGGGCACAACTGGAGGCCAACATCCAACTGGGATCCCCTTTGCGAAGCCGTGTGTCCTGGCAGGGGGCTGCATCTCCTAGAAGGAAGGAGCTTGCTGCTTAGAAGCCATCTGTCCTTGTACTATTCCCTTTAAATAGTGCCTTTTCCTAATTCACCCACCCAGAGGGGCACCTTTTTCTAACTAATGCACCAAGAGGCGTTCTAGTCCAGCCAGAGCTCTGTTGCCGCCCTACCTGTTTTAGGACGTTTGCATTGAAAACTTGAATACCCACACTGAGCATTACAATGTAGATGAAAATACTTCTTCTTACAGATCAGTGGCTGTGCTCACAGAGTGCATGAGGAACAAGATGCTGGCCAAATTCTTCAGGGAACGTCAGGAAACTTTGAAACACTCTCTGCCTCTGGGCTCCTATCTCTTAAAACCAGTTCAGCGGATTCTCAAGTATCATCTCCTTCTGCATGTAAGTGTCGGCCTGTGCTGAGTACTTTCCAGGGGATGGGGATTTTGTGTGTATATATTAAGTTTAGGGGGGATAAAAAATCAGAACAGGCTGGGGACATATGGAAACACTTTCTGTGCTCATACTTTACAACTGACTAATCTGCTTTGAGGAATTAGAGATATTTATATTCTAGGCCTGCCGCCCCATTGACAGCAGCCAAGTAAAAAGACTCATTTTAGCCCTGATTCTGATAGGGCTTAGAAGTACCTGACACTGGGCAGTGACAGGTTCAGGCAGGGAGCTATCATCTTAATGGAAAACAGAGTTTTTATGTTTTATTTTATTTCCATGAGCCCAGATCCAGTAGGCAGTTGGGAAGGAGAACTCTTTGTCATAGACCGGCGTTTGTATGAGCAAAGAGAAGGGGCCAAAAAGAGAGAAGACACAGATGAGCAGTGTGGTGAATGATCTTTGAGCTGGGCTTAGCATCACTTCAGGGCATCTTTTCTTTACATTGTTTCCCATTATTTATACAAAATTCAAGGAGGCTTTAGAAACAAAGGTAGACGTGGCTCTCACATTCTCATTTTTTATCCTCTAAGGAAAATGAGTTTACTGAAAGTAATTTTCATTCTATAATCGGATTGCCCTTCCAAGACAGTTCAGCTGAATGGTTAGGAGCCGAGCTCTGGGGCAAGGGTTCCTGGGTTCAAATCCTGTAAATTGCCCATGTTCCCTGTGGCTCAGAGACAGTCAATAAAAATAAGCTATTATTTTTCACACTACATTAAAAATCTTAAAAAGATTTTAATCCAGAGCTCCTCTCTATATCGACGTGCCTGCAATTTATATATATCTCTTTTTAAATGATTCTAGGTGTCTTAATTGGATAATCATTCCAGGTTTGCTCAGTTCACACACATTTAAAATTTTAAGAAATCTTATGGCGCCACTTGGTCAGAAATTTCTCAGCTTTGTCTGTTTGCCTGGGTGACTCATCTTTGAAGAATCTTGTCTCCTGTGAAGCCACATCAGGGATATTACTTTAATTGTTAAATTGATACTAATGACCTCTTAGATTAGTAGGATTAATTTGCTAAATCAGTGTCCAAATAAATCTTAAATAAATAATGCATGTTCCAGGATAGATCTCCGCTGGCCTCTGCTAATATGGTGTTTAAGACTAATGTGTCCCTAGGGGCTGGCCCCATGGCACAGTGGTTAAGTTTGGCACACTCTAGTTCGGTGGCCTCGGTTTGCAGGTTCGGATCCCGGGTGCGGACCTACACCACTTGTCAGCCATGCTGTGTCAGCAACCCACATACAAAATAGAGGA